CTAACATGGTCTTTATGCACAGCATAGTTCTAATGGACCTTCTTGCAATTTGTTAAATGATTATAAATATTATATTAAAATACACAGTAGTATGTTAACTTCTTAATCTTAAAAAAATTGCATAACCTATCAGCTTTACAGACTGCACTTTGCTATAATTATCTAATTTCAGGTGCTAAATATCTATCAAAAACCACTAAACACTTTTTTGGGGAAAAAGAACAGGAGTACTTGTGGCACCTTAGAGACTAGCAAATTTATTAGAGCATAAGCTTTCGTGGGCTTTTGGGGGGAAGATGGTGTATATGGTCCTCCTTTCTAACAAAAAAACTCAGTCAATGTTTCAATTTTTTTTAACCAAATTGTTAAAAATTCTGTAATTGGCTATGAAACTCATATCCAGTGCTAGCCTGGAGTCAGTGTATACTGAAGCACTACAGGACCCTGAAAATAGAATTTTATATAATTATTATAAAATCATGAGACAGCTTTAAATGTGGCATCACAGAAGTATCAAAAACCTATCTTCTAGTTTATTAGATCTTAGAAATAAGAGTTTTAGGATTCAATTTATAGAAAATCATACCACAACTATTAATTACAGCAGGTTTTGCTAGAATAAAGCCTGCTGTAGGAGTTTACTTGATTAGATATTGAAATGACAATAGACAATATTATACTCTTAGAAATATTTTTGATGATTAAAAATGCACCTTAATTTGCATTTTTCACATCTAAGGAACAGTTGAAATTAACTAATATCCATAATAATGAGTAAACTGGCAATTGTTTTTCAAAGTTCTTGTTCTAGTTGCATAACAATTATTCGCAAAAAGAAAAGGAGTGCTTGTGGCACCTTAGAGACTGATGAAGTGAGCTGTAGCTCACGAAAGCTCATGCTCAAATAAATTGGTTAGTCTCTAAGGTGCCACAAATCCTCCTTCTCTTTTTGCGAATACAGACTAACATGGCTGCTACTCTGAAACATAGCAATTATTGAGTCTCTAATTATTTGTGTACCCAAAAGCAATTAAAAACCAAACAACAATTTAAACAACAAATTTTTGAAAGTTTTTTTCATTTAAGTTTCTGAAGTTTGTTCAAACGTGGATTTAAAGGATGTTTTTTAAAAGAACACTTTGTGCCTATGCAATGGCACAATGACCCTAAAAAAAGGTGACAATGTCACATTAGTTATTCTTTTGTCTGATGAGAGCATTTTCAGAGCACTTGACTTTCACCAAATTTTAATGGCTATGTTAGCAAAGATATAATTGCTCTCTCTTATTTGTACTAGTCTTTTATCTAGTTTTTATGTCAAACTGCACAACAAATTCTGATTATGCAAACTGCGTGACCTCTTACTAAAATTATATCCTGTACTAGTGAAGTTAAAACGTTTCAAGAGAGATATAAGAGATTATTATTAATAGTCCAAAAACTTTGTTGAGACTAAATAGAGTTCACGAATATAGCTTACATATTGAACCAAAAAAAGAAAATCGTAGTTACAAAAAAGTTTAAGGCTTGAGTCAGAAAATTCAAAGTTATTGTTCAACATGGTGCCTCCTTCCCACTTGATCTCTGAATTCATTGTGACAATTCTTTGCCTGGAATACCTTTTTGTGTGTGTAAAGGTGTGCTGGTCAGAAAATGGGCTGGATATTTACAGAGGCTTAAGATAGTTAAGCATCCAAATCCTTTGAAAGTCAGTTCTCTTAGCCCCTTCCAAAAATTCCAGTCTTGGTCTCCAGTTCTCCACTGTCTCACGATCTGGGTCAGGATTACAAAAGGTTATATGCTAGCCCCAGGGCATAGTACCATATCCACTGACTCCAGAGACTATTGCGAGAGAAGGGATGGTGAAGTAAGATTAGGGCAAGCACGTGAAGAGTATTACAGTTAGTGAATTAGACCGCAATCCTGGTATGACTCTGCATGGGTAGCTTAGTATATTATATAGTAAAATATACAGATCGTTTGCATGGGTAGAGGATAAAATCTAATTGACTGAACATAATATTTTTGAATGATATAAATAACACTTACAAATATACTTTTGTAAATGTACTTGATTGGTATGTGTATATTTTTAAAAAATCAGCTGGAAATACTCCCCCCAGTCTGGATCTATATACCAAGTATATATTTATTTAAAAAGGACTGAAAAATCTTGTCCAAGTATGTGGATTATAATAAATCCTGATGAACTGAAGTGAAACTTTTTTTGACATTTAAAATAAGTACATGAAATGAAGGCATTTTGTTGGTAAAAATTCCAGTGCACTTTTGTAGTTACAACTTCAAGTTGTGGGCTAAGTTGGTTGGGTTTCATACCATGATATTTTTTTAAGATTACCTAAATAGTTTAGCCTACCCCATGTGTTCAAGAGGATAAGCAAAGCTTAATTTATACTTTTTCCTCACAGCTGTCAGAGGCGGAGAAAAGAAAATACACTCCCAAAAGATACCATGGAGTCTTCCCCCCCCCCGCAGTAAGATAACACTAGGTAAGAAGGCAAGAATCCTGCAGAGGTGAGTACTGTCTCAAAGAACCTGTTGGAGAAAAGAGGATTGATGGGTATGAAGGGCCCTGATGCTGACTTATGGATGTTTATCAGAACCAAACTTTAAAGCTTCTGAAGTTTCCCCATACCTAGTTTTTAATGGATTTTTCCAGTGTTGAGGCTGGCTTAATATGTATTTTATATGCTGTTTTGCAATGAGGAAGCTGTTTTATTGAGTGTTTTATATATGAAGGGAGGCTGATTTACTGCATGCCCTACAGGTAGTCTCATTATGCTAGGATGTGCATGTTTGTTTATGTATTTTACTGCTTTTTTACTCTTTCAAGCAGGCCATGAGGAAAGTATTATTTCAATTGGGATCTCACATTTGAACGGACGTAAACTTGGAAAATGTGAAAGTTGTATTTGGCTGATCCTTTATACATAACATTCACCTAGCCATGTGTAGGTAGATGCAGGACATTTCCCCCCCTCCCTTTTCATTTCTATTACTTTAGTTTTATATACTCCACATACAGCGTGATCTGTAACTGAACCATGATTTATTCTCTGAATTGTCAGCAGTACCCACCTTATCTGCTGCTGCTCCTGTCTGATATTGTTTTATTAAGCTTTCAATTCCTATTCGTAAGTCCTGTGACTCTCTTTGTGGGGAACACAAGTAGTGTCGGTAATGCTAGCACTATACATAAACTCTGGGAAGGGATCCAGCTTGTGGATTGTGTTAGAAGAGGTGCTTAATTTTGCCCCATCCTGCTGTAGTCCATACACTACATGAACCTACTGGCTTTTTGCATAGGAAATTCTCTTCTCTTCGTGCAGAACAGGTTTGGGGAGCATAAGTAGAGTTGAATATACCTCTCTGTGTGCCCTTGAGTTACTTTCACAATGACATAGCCCATATACATGTCCCAGAACCATGACTAATCTCTTTTCCACAGTGTGTGGGGGTGGGGGGGAGCATACATCAGAAAGCCTGTTCCTCTGCCAAGGCAATTTATCCCCAAACTTACCCAGAGCAATCAGCTCTGCCTGCCCCATTCTGCTAACTATCCTTTTCCTCATATGCAATCTTTACTTCACTTTTCTTCTTGTCCCTATCAAAAAACTCTAAGTGTATTTAACAAGATTCTTATTCTGCCTCACACCTTCTCTTTCCCTCACAAAAGAAAAGTGTCAGAGTTGGTCACTATCCTAGTACCACTCAAAAATAAGAAAAAAGAAATGTTATGTGAAAGTGACTTTTCACACTTCCGTATAATTCAATGAATAAAATAACCAATGCCATGCCATTTCATGGAAAAGTTCAACTGCAGGAGGGTAAAATCACTTGAAATGCAATAGAGACAGTTCTCACAGTAAATTTCACCAAAAGAAGTCCTTACTTTAACACATCTCTACTCTGTGGGGAGCGAGGGGGGGGCAAGTATAAAACAACAGCAGCATCAGCAGTAGATGACTATTTGGCAGAGATGGCAAAGTACACCTTTAAAGACGCAGACACTAAAAGAGGTAGAAATAGAATCAGTAATAGAACCTCTTTCTGCACTCCTGTATTCTTAGCTCTGTGCCCATCACTTCAGGATTTCCCTAACTCTTATTTCCTTTAAGGTAAACCTTTAAACTGAAAATAAGTGTTGCTTTTGCCAGCCTTGACTCTATAGATGACATAACTAGTTTTGAGGTCCATTTTCCTCTCCATGCATGTGCATAACTTGCAATGATATATTAATGGGAGTTATGGGCTCATATTAAGAGGACAATAAACTCTATGTTTCAAAAACAGAATTCAGAAAGGGAATATAAGGTTTCAACAGGTATTATCACTTCTTCACTGTTCTATTGCCCCAAGCAATGAGCATGATATTAAACTCTATCTAGTAGTCATTTTCAATTGTATGATAAGAATTCAGTTGAATTTGTTGTTTCTTTGGCATCTCAACTTATTTGTTGTGAATAAAAGCATAAAAAGGTGCAAAAATCTGGTTTTGTCAAGCTCCAGAATTAACATCTCATAAATCACAATATGCTAAATAAAACAGTCCACTTGATTAGTTGTTATTGCGTTTACAGTTATGCATAGCTGGGTTGATGAGCAAAACCTTTTGTTTGTCTGGATATTATTTCTTCTTTTATAGTTTTCTTTGGGGTATTAAAATATATTGGTATTGGATGCAGCTATACCCAGGTGTTTTAGGAAAGGCATTTTTCTCTCCACATCTCCAACAATGGTCAATCTAATCTCATTTACAAATGAAGTGCTGAAAAATTAACATTATGATCATAGCAAAATCTTTTGCATTCAACCTTTAATCTGTCTAGGGATTACCCACTTAAAAACTTTGCATAAGGAATACTCTAGACATGCTTGGACTGGAGAAGTTAAATCTAGCTCTGTACACAGTTTCTTGACAAGTGACTAGGACTAAAGAAAACAAATAAAAACAGTACCAACTAGAAATACAATATCACCTTTTCCCTCCAGTTATCTTCATTCAGAATCTTCTGTCTTAATGCTTCCTGCAGCTGTTCTGTTCTGTTCTGATGAGAAATCAGCGTCAACTCCCTAGAAACCACAAAAACCTGTAACTAAAAGAGGTATTCTGCCTAGATGAATTTTCTTGCAGTTAAACCCTTTGCAGCAGGGACCATCTTTTACTCTGTGTTTTTTGGTACATAATACAATGGGGCCCTTCAATCCTGACTGGGGCCTCCAGGCACTACAGTAACCATTATTTATATAATACTGTTGTAGTTCTGCCATCTGCCTTTTTTTGTTTGTTTGTTTGTTTTACACACAATATTATATGAGCTTACAGTTCCATATATCTTGACATAAAGTGCAAATATTTTAATATTTTCTCAAGTTGATTTTCACGTAACTTTATATGACTATAATGGATATAATAATAAAAAGTAAGGCAGTTACAGTTAGTTGAACTCAAAACATTACAATACTGCAACAAGTTTTGAATCAGCACCACTGAGTAGTGCTGAGTAAGTTCATAACTAACTTAGCTAATATTTAACGACAAGAAAAAATATTCTTAAATGATGCCAGTAACTAATGTGTAATACAGTTGGTAAAAAACAGTTACTAACCTTTCTGTAACTGTTGTTCTTCAAGATGTATTCTCATGTCCATTCCATGTTAAGTGTGTGCATATTAGGTGGAGGGCCTTGAGGCTCGGGTGGAGCAATCAGCTGTGATCTTGCGAGATCAGGTACATGAGGAGAGAGAATGGCAACAGGGCCACTACTGACATGTCCAACAACATGCAGACCAGTGCTGACGCAGCCATGTGGGGACTATAAGAATAACCCTTGCTTTGTCCCGCTTGACTTTCAGCAGGACCTTGTGCACAAGAAGAATGGGGGGAAACGCATAGAACAAGAGCTTTGTCCATGGGAGCAGGAAGACATCTGCGAGTGAGCCTGGGCTGTGACCATATAGTGAGCAAAACTGCTGATATTTCCTGTTCTGTGTGGTTGCAAACAGGTCTACAAGGGTAAACCCCCACCTCTGGAAGATGGACTTGGCTACGTCAGGGCAAAGGGACCAGTTGTGGTGAGAAGAGAAAGATCTGCTGAGGTTATTTGCCAGAGTGTTCTGGGCTCCCGAAAGGTGAGAAGCTTTGAGGTGGATGAAATGCTCAGCGCAGAAATCCCACAAGAGAATGGCTTCTTGACACAAGATGGACAAGCGCACTCCTCCCCGCCTGTTGATATAAAACAAGGCTGCTGTGTTGTCCATAAGTACACACCCAACCTTGCCTGCAATCTGAGGTAGAAACACCTGGCATGCTAGGCAGACATTTCTGAGCTCTCTGACTTTTATATGCAAGAAGAGCTCCTCCTGGGACCATAGGTCTTGAGTCCTGAGGTTTTTCCAGGTGAGCCCCCCAACCTAGATCAGATGCATCTGAGATTAGGGCTACAGGTAGCTGGGGAGTGACAAAGGGAATAGCCACTGACCAGGGATCCCTCCACCAGTCAAGGGAGGCAAGGACCGGGGCAGGAATTGTAAGCACTGAGACCAAATGCTGATGGCTCTGCAAGTACACTGAGGCCAGCCAAGCTTGAAGGGGTCTGAGGCACAGTCTTGCATGCTGCACTATGTAAGTGTACGTGGCCATGTGACTAAAAGTTAGAAGCAGAAATGGGCTGTCGTGACAAGGTGGGCCTTGACCTGCGATATCAGCATAAATATTATCGGGAAGCAAGCCTCTGGGAGGAAGGCTCTGGCCCAGGTGGAATTAAGCACTGCACCAATAAACTCTGTCCTCTGAATGGTATGAGAGTTGACTTCTGCTCGTTTATCAGTTGGCTCAGGACTCGGAAGGTAGCTTAGACTAGACCGATGCTGGCTCTTACCTGTGCCTCGGACTGGCCCTTGATCAGCCAGTCATCGAGGTAAGGATAGACTTGTATACCTCACCTTTTGCCACCATCGCCATGCATTTTGTGAAACCTTGAGGGGCTGCTGTCAGGCCGAAAGGGAGGACAGTGAATTGGTAGTGGGTCTGGTTCATCATGAACCTTAGGAACCGTCTGTGGCCCTGGAAAATGGAGATGTGGAAATAGGCATCTTTCAAGTTGAGTGTGGCATACCATTCCCCTAGATCCAGGGAGGGGATAATGGAGGCAAGGGAGACCATGCAGAACTTCAGTTTCTTGAGATAACTGTTGTAGCAACGCAGGTCTAGGATGGGTCGGAGACCCCCTTCGGCCTTCAGGATTAGGAAATAACAGGAGTAAAACCCTTTCCCTCTCAAGTTCTAAAACACCTCCTTCACAGCCATTACCCAAAGTATGGTTTGCACCTCCTAGACTGGAAGTTGCTCGTGAGAAGGGTTCCTGAAGAGGGATGGGGATGGGAGGTGGGATGGCAGGTGGAAGAATACGGAAGGGTATAACCTCTCTCCACCATATTCAGCACCCAGTGGTTTGAGGTGATGAGACACCATGCTGGGCTGAAGTAGGAGAGTCAGTCTGAAAAGAAATGGGGGAAGGATCCAGTATGGGAACTGATATTATGCCCTTGAGCGCCTCTTCAGAAGTTCTGCTTGGGGCCTCCTGGACATCTCTGCAGGCCCAGTAGTGGGACTGAGGTGGAAGAGGGCAGTTGCCTGCACTTACAACCCCTGCTTTGTTTCTTAAACAGGTCTTGGCGCAGTGGAGGAACCAAGAAGCAGACCAGTTGTTGAGGTCTGAAGTTCTTCCTTGAAACTGCCGGGGCAAAGAGGCCTAAGGACATGAGGATGGTCCTAGAATCCTTCAGGCCATGGAATTTTGCGTCGTCTGTTCCAAAAAGAAGGAAGTCCCTCAAACGGAAGATCCTGAATGGTCTGCTAAACCTCAGGTGGTAGGCCTGAGGATTGGAGCCAAGAGCACCTTCGCATGAAGACCGCTCATCATTCTAGCAGCCGTGTCAGCTGCATCCAGGGAAGCCTGGAAGGGAGACCCTGGCTATAGTCTTTCCTTCCTCCACCAGAGCGGAGAATTCCTGTCTGGATTCTTGGGGCAGTTAGTCCTTGAATTTAGACATGGAGTCCCAGATGTTATAATCGTACTGCCCAAGCAAGGCCTGCTGGTTGGAGATGTGGAGCTGTAATCCACCAGCAGAATAAATCTTTCTACCAAACAAGTCCAGCTTCTTTGAGTCCTTTGACCTGGGGGTTGCAACCTGCAGCCCTTGCCCGTCTCTGTCGTTGGCCGTTGCGACCAGAAGGGACCCAGGGGAGGGAGGAGAGGATGGGAATATAGGTACTTATACCTGTTGGAGGGAACAAAGTACTTTCCCTATGCTCTTTTTGAAGTAGGTGGCAAAGAGGACAGGGTCTGCCATAGGGATCTGACAGGAGCCATAACAGCCTCATTGAGGGTATGGCCACCTTTGATGGGGGCTCTACAGCCAAGATGTCGATCATGCTGTGGTAGGATTCTTTAAGCATCTCCATTTCCAGCCCTAGGTTAGAAGCTACCCTTTCCAATAGCTCCTGGTGAGCTCTAAAGTCACTCCGAGGTCCCCCATCCACTCAAACCTGACACAACTTCATCTGGGGAGGAGGAGGAGGAAGTGTGCACTGGCAGGACGCCTTCCTCCTCTTCTTCTGCACCAATCACATCATGTAGCCCCAAATCCTGAGAATCAGTACCGGAGTCCGAGTTGGGTGCCAGATGGAGTGGTGGAGGGTCCCTTCTCTCAGAAGCCACTAAGTTTGAGCAGCGGAAAGGCAGTCCTAGTAGGGGGGTAACCCCACAGATTCCAAAAAGGCCATTGGACCTGCATAGGCCACTGCCCACTGGTTGCCTAGAGGGGCAACTGCACCAGGATATGATGGAACATAAGCTGGGTTCTGATACTGGCCCTTTGGCTGCATCCACCTCCAACTCCAATGAAAAGTTGGCATGCGGACCCCTGGGGGGTGGTACGCCTCACTTCCACCGGCCGGTGCTGAGAATTCAGGGAATGGTGCCAGAGTGGGGAAACCTTCGCCAACATCAGCAGGGTCGGTTTTCCTCTGGTCGGTAACTGAAAGACCTGGTGCTTGAATGGAGCTCAGGGCAACATGCTCCTTTCTGCTCAACATACTCGCCAATGCCGGATCTTGCCCTGCCTGGGTCAGCAGTACTTGGAGTGCCATCAGATCCTTGGCTGCTGAGAACGACGTCCCTTGGCCTGTGCCACTTCCCGCAGGCCCCATTGGCCTGAAGTGGCGAACCGCAGCCAGAGGGAGCCACAGTTGGCTGAACCGGGGGACGCGGCATGTAAACAAACCGCTCCGGCGTGCCAGGGGCTTTCCCTGAACAAGCGGCGGACCGGCTTTGAGAACCACTGCCCTAGAAGACCTCTGCGTACTCCCAGGGGTACACATACCCCTGGTCGAGAACCACTGTCTCAGGCCATTACCTTTCACGCAGTTACCACTATACTGAACCTAATAATTTGTGTTTGGCTAAAGCATATTTTCCAGAAAAGCATACAATCTTGATCTGAAGACATCAAGAGATGGAGAATCCACCACTTTTCTTGGTAGTGTGTTCCAGTGATTAATCACACTTACTGTGGAAAACTGAATCTGTTCCTAGCGTTGACCAGTTTTTCAAAAGTGGCTTATAATTCTGTGTCTCAATTTTTGGGAGTCCATCTTTAGTCACCTTGGAACTGATCTTTCAATATGCTGAACACCTATTGCTCAAAGACCCTAATTCAAGAAAGCACTTAAACCCATGTTTAAGTCCTCCCTATTGATGGCTTCACTTTAGAGTGTGCTTAATTTTAAGCATGTGCTTAAATGTTGTTCTGAATTGGGATGCTTTCCTGAATCAGGGCTAAATTGAGGTGGAGAATAGCTGTACTATTGTACTACTTGGTATCTGAAAATTCTAAAATTGGGCACTCAAAAGAATATTCACACAAGATTAAAAGCCACTTCTGAAAATTGGGGCCTACTTAATTCATAGGAGTGATGGAAAGCTTAATTCATGTTTGAGGTCCTTGGATGAAAGATGCTCTAGGCCCAATTCAAATCCCACTCAAGTCAGTAGGAGGTTTTCTACTGACTTCAGCAGGCATTGGATGAGGTCCTATAAAAATGCATGTATTATAGATATTTGCCAGCATTGTTATAGCTGGTATATTAATGCAAACAATTTAAAGTATTGGAAAGCTTAAAATGCTCTGGGACCCTGACCCCGAAAACCTAATTTGGGTTAACTACAACTAAGTTCAATAGGAGTTTTGTCTGAGTTTGAACTGAAGGTTCAGGTTCTATGACTTTAAAACAGGATTATGAAGAAGACAAGATTGCTGAGTGAAGAGAGGCTCCACTCTACTCAATGGCATTTCTATGTCTGTCTTTAATGGCAGGTTTCAGAGTAACAGCCGTGTTAGTCTGTATTTGCAAAAAGAAAAGGAGTACTTGTGGCACCTTAGAGACTAACCAATTTATTTGAGCACGAGCTTTCGTGAGCTACAGCTCACTTCACCGATGAAGTGAGCTGTAGCTCACGAAAGCTCATGCTCAAATAAATTGGTTAGTCTCTAAGGTGCCACAAGTACTCCTTTTCTTTTTGTCTTTAATGGCGTAACTTTTGAAAACCACATCTGATCAAATCCAAAATTCCAGGGAATGTTCTAGGTATCAGTGGGCAGAACCTTATTGATTCTGATGAAAACAGGACAACCAGAAGAGCCAGATTTCCACCCAAATCACCATTTGGTCACTCAGGATACAGAGGTGAGGCAGTGACCTCCCAGAGGCCTGTGGCACGGGAGCAGTCACTTTGGATACACCTCAGGATTAGGGTTTAGGGTGACGGTTAGTGGGCCCCTCATGCCATTCTAGCCAGCCTCCCCTCAGCTGGGACCCTTGCCCTCCAACCCTGGCCAGCTCCCCAACCAGGGCCTCTCATCCCCATTCTGGCCAGACCCTCGCTCAGTTACACCCCTCACTCCTCCCACTTCAGCCATACCCCTCACCCCCCAAAAGAATCCTTTTGAGTTTGATGAAAATTGGAAAACTGGAAAAGCCTGATTTCTACCAAAATCAACAGAGTTCAGACCACAGTGGTATGTGTGTGTAGGGAGGGGCTGCTGAACATACAGCTGCGGCTACAGAATCAACAAAGTGTGCAACCCAAAAAAAGATCTGGAGAGGTTTAGCTGCTAGCAATGTCAAAATGTATATGACTAAATGCTGCTTCAACTGCTGCTTTCAAAGTGCCTCTTTTGCAAGTAGAGTCTCTTTATCAGTACACCGGATGAGAGTGCAGCATTATTCCACATAGATAACACTTTCAAAATGCAGTATTTTTTGGCCAATGAAAGGGATTATCACCTTTTTTGCTGTTTGGAAGCTACTTTTCGAAGGCTTGTCAAAGAGGATGGCGAATTCAGGGAAATAGGTATGGATTTTTTTTTAATTTTTATTATTTAATTTTGTAATGATTTAACTAAGAGACCGGCATCAAAACAGAAAGATTACACTATAATTCTTATTCATACCTGTAGCCCTTCAGGCATGCACATGCCCAAACGTTTAACCAAAGCTTACTACTTCAGTAAATATGGTAGTGAAGGCTTCTGACTTTGCAGGATGGACTGAGACTCAGGGGTATGAAGAATAACATTACAAAGTATAACAAAGTGGAATGTTTGCCATGCCCAGAACTTAGTGACAAAACCCCCCTACAACTTTTAGAGGATTTTTTCCTCAGTAACAAGTGATGATCATTCTCAAATTACATATATAACTCTATTAGCCAGTGGAACTCATTGCTACAGGTATTACTCAGGCCAATAGCTTAGTAGGATTCAAAAGGATTGGCTATTTGTCTAGACCTGTGGTTCCCAAACTTGTTCTGCCGCTTGTGCAGGGAAAGCCCCTGGCTGGCCGGGCCAGTTTGTTTACCGGCTGCGTCCGCAGGTTCGGCCAATCGTGGCTCCCAGTGGCTGTGGTTTGCTGCTCCAGGCCAATGGGCGCTGCTGGAAGCGGCTGTGGACGCGACAGGTAAACAAACCGGCCCGGCCCGCCAGAGGCTTTCCCTGCACAAGCAGCAGAACAAGTTTGGGAACCACTGATCTAGACAACACAAATATTCAGAATTACAATAAAAAAGCCTAGATCTTTGGAAGGCTAACTCTCAATCTTCTAAGGAAGAAATTTTCTCTGTGGGCAGGTGATTGCATAACTGCCCTCTGTAGTATTTCTTACTCCTTTCTTTGAAGCATCTGATACCAGCCATTAGGCTACATTATCCAGTATGGCAATTTTAATGCTCTTGTTATCCATTAATTAGGCTTCTGGAGCACATTCTAACTGTTGGTATAAAAATTTACTGTATTTAGAGATTAAAGAAAATCTGTACAACTAAATAATTTAGGAATGTGTAACATTATTAATCAAAACAAGATATACTAGCCAGTGTTTTATAGAACATATCTAAATTCACATGTAGCTGGATATTCTGCTATCTTTATATACTTTTAAACTATTACGCCATTGTAATGGAATACAAACATAGCTTTAATTAAAATATTGTATGGTGCGGTTCTTCCTTTTTTAACTAATGTTATGACTCTTTAGATTTTTGCTATAACAAACTCATGACTTTTCTCATTTTTTGCCATGACAAAAAGTCAGCATTACTTACAAACAATATATAGAAAGGTCCTTATCCCATCACAGAAACAAGACTGATAAAACTGCAATGCTTTGATAACATCTTGTTTTTTCAGTTGCTTCTAAACTAAAGGGGCTCTTTAATTTAAACTGTAATAAATGTGAATATCAGTAACTACTACACGTTTTTTGTTTTAAAAATTCATTATGCTGTTTTCTGATAGATATTGTAGCATGCTCTTTACATTAGGCACATACTACACATGGGATTATAATGATTTTACTTTTTTGATAAAAGTAAGGAAGTCTGAAGATTTGACTTTTAGGGGACTTTTTATTTCAAGATATCCTCAGAAAGAAAATCTAGGCAAAAATCAAGCTATGCAAAAGTACGCATGGTGAGTCATTTCTGATTACCTTTCTTGTTTCAGCATTACTACTTCTTCCTCTCTCTGTCTAAGAAGAGCTTTAATTGTTTCCAGTTCACTCTCTGAGCAACTGGTTCTTTTTTTTAGATCTTCTTCTTGCCTTTCTTTCTCTGCCACTTCTTCCTGTAAACGTTTGCATACTTGTTGGCAAACTAGCAAAGACTCTTCTTTTTCTTTTAGATCTTTAGTAAGTCTAAATAAATAATAAATAATAATAATAATAATAATAAATAATAAATCACCAAAATATCACAGCTGATGCATTTTTCTTTATAGATAAAAGATATCCTGAGATAATTTTTGCTTGTAAAAGAGAATATTACACAAAGACAAAAAATAAAGGAAAAAGAAGGCCGAAGAACATCTTTGTGAAGTTAACTAGAATGATCATTCAAATACAATCAGAAAAAATAAAAGTTACAAGTACCAAAAGATCTGTGATTAAAAAATGAGGAATATTAAAATAATAAAAATAAAAATAATTTGATCTTTCTCATCATTTGTATATAAAATAAAAACAATTCTGTAATAAACCTGGATTTAGACATTCCATTTTCATACTCCAGCTTTTGAAGTTCACTTTGACAGATGTCAACTTCCTTTGATTTCATCCTAAAATATAACAATTCATAAAGTATACATTAGCCCCAAGAAATCAAAGCCTTTACTCATTAAATGATTTGGACTTCATTTGTTAACTGTTTCACGCTTTTTATTTTAGTTGAATACCATGAAAAATTTCCCTACAGGGAGATTTATTAAACTGTGGTATTGTTATGCTCTCTGTACATCTTTGAATAGATATTTCATATATACTGAACATATACACACACACATTTTTAATCCTGTCTCAAACAGGCCTACCAGTGAAGCACACGTGTAACTTTAAGCGCACGAGTAGTCCTGTTAAATCATTGTAAATTTAACGGAATGTGTGTTTTGCTGGAATCAGGGACTTAAACAAGAACTAAGGTATGAATGTTTGCAATGCCCTCTGTGTATCCCCAGTTGGTGGATGATCCTTAGTAACTACTGTCAGCCCCAGTTTGAGTAATCCTCAAGTTTAAGATTTCTAATTTAAGATTTGTAAGTGGGGGCCTATGTGAAACAAACTAGCGGTCTCACTCTGGTTCCTAGCTATTAATTAATTATTATAGTAGTACTAAGAGGCCCCAGCCAAGATTTGAGCCCCATTGCCTGGCATTGCACAAATGGAGTAAGAGACTGTCCCTGACCCAAACAGCTTATGATCTAAATAGGCAAGACAGACAAAGGATCAGAGGAAAGGAATATAACACGTAATCAGAATGAACAATAGGATGGTCTGCAAATGTCATTTTACTTCCACAATACTATTTTTTGTTGTTTTTTGCTATTTGTGTGTGGGGGGGCGGCTTTTGTTGAAAGGGGATTAAGTAAACAGAAAGACAAAGAAAGGGGCAAGTGACTTTCACAGGTGGCTGTCCCTTTATGGGGAGTTGGGATCAGCTGCCTCACAGCTAGGGATCAGGTGATTATAAAAGCCAGCAAGTGTCTCAGTTGGGGTAGAGCATTGCAAGGAGTAGGCTGGCTCTGGAAAGAAGCCCCTGGGTCAAGATTCAGTTTGGCTCCTGTAGGAGGCCCTAGAGCAGGGTATGACTCCCAGGCAAGTGGCCTCCAAAGTGGAAATCCATAGGAAGTAGATAGGTCTTCTGCAGAAGACCCTAGGTTTGGGGGAAGGGATGATCGCTGGGCTGTACTCATTTACTGTGGAAGAAATAAAGCTGAAGTCCTGAGAAAAGGGCCTGAACCAGACTCTGGGCATGGTATCACTCCTTCGTTGGCTCAGGACAGGCCAACAGCCACAGGGAAATTAAGAGAGAGGTTAAGAGTGATCATGGAAGGAAAGAGAAGGAGACAAAGAGGGGATTGTGGAGAGCAGGTGAATTGAGGCTGCACTGAAGAGAATGTGAAGGAGAGGAAAGGAGAGAGTTGGAATGAATAGCCAATTAACAGAGAGGAAAGAATGTCCAAAGCAAAAACTGCAGAAAGTAGTATGATGATGATGATGTATGCTATCAGCATTCAAAGATCCCTGCTGCAGCTCTTAGTCTCTGCTCCTGCTGACTTGAATCTATGGCTACAATTTCTTTCTCTTCCCTGTATTTACACAGGTAGGGTAGGCTGCTTGGAACAAAGGGTCCTTGGAGGCTCTCTCCTAAACAGTTCTGGGTCTGAGAAGGTGGGTGGAGGGAGAGAGAAATGCCAGCTGGGTCTCACCTTCCATCTCCTCCACACATGGTGTGGCCATACCTGTGCAGCTGCTTGTCTCTGCTCCTGACAGCTTGTGGCTCTGGGTTCCTAGTGTATTGATATCAACATCACAGAAATCACTATTCACCACCACAACTGGCAACCAGTATTGACAGTACAACCAGAGAGATGAAGGATTGAATGGTCACAGAGACTTTACCATCCTCTCAGTTGTAAAAGGCGATCTTTCAGGACAGGGTTTAGGGCAGAAAATAATTTGGAGGACTGAGTGGAAGTTTGTACTTAAAGGGGACTTCAGTTTCCAGTGCAACTTGGCAACTTTCAGGAGCACTAAATTAACTTTTAAAAGATTCCTGACTTGCTACCTTTTTACTGTATTTCCCTATACTGCACATACGTATCAAAGGCCTGATGATAGACTGACTTACATTACAACACAGTGTTCAGTACAAGAGTAAGGATTAACCAACAAAATTCTTCCACAGAGTGAAGTAAACAGACTGAGCCCTGAAGTAGAAGAGAGAGAAAAACACTGTCTTTGGAATGGAGAAGTAAACACACAGCCAACTCAACGGAGGAAAGCAATCGCATTTTAAATTATATTCACACTAACTTCTCCATACTTCAGTTAGGAAATAAACTTTAAATTTGCTCAGCAAAAGTGCCAAACAAACACAGAACAAATATATACCACACAACAGAGCAAACATATTCCAAACTGAGTCAGACATGAAGACTAGCCAACAGAAGAAACCCAATTCATCTTAACAAATTATAGGACAAAGTAAATTAAACACATTAGGTTTCCTTATTAAAATGCACACAGAAGTCATTTATATGGTACTATTTTTTAATTATCCCAGCTTCTCTAGAAAAGATAGCACAAAAGGGGCACTGGTGCATTGAAATTTTATTAGCAGCTCAATTCATTTGCGTCTTAGGGAACTGAGCACAGCCCTAAGAAATGTGACAGACAAACTCCTGATTTTGAATGCTAACTCTGCAATACTTGTATTACCTTCAGTTGGTCACAACATTTGGGACCTAGCTTTGCACTCTACAAAACTGAGATATTACTATTTACCTCATAGGGTTGTTGTGAGGATTCATTAATTAATGTTCATATAGCTTCTGGACATGTACAATATTATGGACTTGATGCAGCTCCCATTGAAGTCATTTGGCGTCTTTTCATTGGCTTCAATGAGGATTGGATTCAATTAGGCCCCATAACTCTAAATATTATTACTATTTAAAGGTTCTCTTAGCAGGGAAGATTGTTGACATTGAGAATCGCTTAATGTTAAGGCAATTGAAGAGAAAGGCTTTCAGATTACCAGGCTTTCTGATGGACAACTAAATTATTTCTCTTCTAGTGCACAAGGCTTCTGTTATTAAGGAACAGAAAAAAAAATCAATAGTCACCCACATTATACAGTATATCCTTGATCTAAGCTATCATAGCCTTGTATGTCATCATAGTCAACGGTAAAATCACCAAGCTCAACAGTTCATCAGAATTTTAAAGTTTTGGGTTGCTTTCATGATATCGAGGCCCACACTAAACATGAGGAATATGCTTATCTAAAAAGGAATCAATCTTGGTTTTTTAAATATTTCATATGTATAATTCTGATTAAAGAAGTCTTGAAACTACCAACAAGCTACACTATAAATATATATGCATGGCTGGGAAAAATATGTACCACTCAAAAAGTAAGCTCAAAGCTCAATGGCCAAAAGATTAACAACTGAATGGCTGTAGATATGGATAAAAACTTTATAGGAGAGAAATTAGAATCAGAGAATCAGAGTCAGACAAGTTCAGTGTCTTCATAAAATAAATAAATTTACATTACATACTATATTTCTTCAAATAAACAGCTTTTTTGAGCAACCTTAACTGGTTTTCAAGTGCTTGTATCACCAAAATGACCCCAAAAAAGCCAGGAAATCACTAGGTAAGTCCTTACCCAGCCCTTACAATCAACAACCACAATTTCTCCTTCTCCACATTACCTCACTTGCAATGCACATGCCTTCCTCCCTCAACCTCCACACAAATAATACAGCTTTTAACTCTGACCATATGGAGTGGCTAGGAACGATATTTTGTGTTGAAGTAAGCAGTATGGTAAAAATGTTTAGGTGATGGTTATGTTTAAGTGTGTTTTGTTGGATGTTTTCTGTTTTTGAAATTGAAATGTTTGTAGTATTGTTTATTATTCTGGGAAGTCACTGTTTATAGTGGTACTATTTGGGTGATCTAAGGTGTAGAGATGTATTTTTTCAACTGCTGATGTTTGTGGTGGGAGTTAAGGTTGAATGCTTTGGATGGAGCTGAAGGGAGGAAGGATTTATGTTGTGGGTGAGAAAATGTGAAGAGGGTAAAATCATGGTTGTAGGTTGCAAAGGCTGGGTAAGATTTAACTAGCAATTTCCTGTTTTTTGTGGTTGGTTAATGGTATGTGCACTAGAGAAACCTTAACTATTCAATGGTTTTGTCTGAGGGATTTTTTAAAGTAAGAAATCTATATCAACTCTGACAGCTATCTGTGTTGATCATTCTTGTCCCTGTGCCATGTTACAAAGGTCCAAAGTCTTCCAAGAGTACTTGCTCCACACAGTAATGCACTCCTTCCTCATGGCTCCCTGTACACAGCTCAGTTTCTCCCTATGGTCCTCAATCACAGCCTTGCTCCTTTCCATGTCCTCCCACAGTACTCTTCCTGGATATGATCCTCTACCCACATCCCTGCTCTCCTACCATCCCCACTCACCCCCAGTCTCCCTCTACATTTTCACTCACCTTTGGTGCTGTTGAAGATGAACCAAGGTAGGAATTAAGGGGAGAAAAACAGGTATGTGTGTGAGATGGGGAAAGGAGTCTCAGTGGCAAATGAGTGGGATGTGTGGAGGAATGCCTGGGAGGGGAGTCAACTACCTCTGTTTTGAGGCACTGATGCAACAAGGATTCCCCTGGGACATGAGGAAGCAATATCTAGCAGCCCTCGGTGTGCTGATGCCTCAGTACTGAGACACTGGGCTCTCTGCTAGGCCAACCCTCCCATTCACATTCCGAATCCTCACATAACCATGCACTCCCTGCCTTTCACATTCCCACTCATCCCCTTTGGGGAGACAAAAGGAAGAGAGAGCAGGGATGGGAGTGCGTAGGGCTGCCTGAAGGTTGTTGCTTCAGTTTCAGTTAAGACATATAGCAGCATTTTAAATGTTTCCTCTGAAAATGTTAGTATATCTCTTACTAAAAAACTTCCATGAAAAATTCAGTTGTCCCATGACAAGTTCCTGGGCCAGATCTGGAAACCCCCTATCAATCATTAAAGTATGAAACAGACGGAACTTAGTCCTGCTTTAAATCCATGTCTACACAGGGAATTTTACAAAAATTTCCTACTGATGGGAACCCCAGAAAAAATTCCCATGGTTGCATTTGCAATGTAGCTGTAGCCATGTGACCTGAAGAAGAGCTCCGTGTGGCTCAAAAGCATGTCTCTCTCACCAACAGAAGTTGGTCCAATAAAAGATATTACCTTACACACTTTGTTAGCTAAGCCTGTAAGGTCTACACTAGGTCTTCCATTATTAGGCATTTTTTTTGTACAACTCCCTAGTGTAGACATAGCCAAGGTGCATTCTCAGCACAACTCTTCCTAAGCCTCCATAACACATATTACACACACACATGCCACATATGTGGAGATGCTATCCATTGGACAAACTGCAGAGCCATGCAATTTATGGATTTGTCATGCAGCTCTGAGAATCTAACCTCATCTTTGCCTGTCCATTAATCAACCTTCCCGGATCTTATTGTAACCCTCTAAACCTCTGAGTAGCTTCAAACAACTGCCATTAAAAAAAGGAAAGGAAAACACCTGCCAGAGAAACGTGTCCTCCTCCCAGGCATATAGAATTTCTCCCTAAAATTACAGCCATCTGAGGTCTGGATAAGCAAGATTCAGTCTTGGACCAGTAACATCTTTTCTATACTTAGAAATATTACAACTGTAAGCTCCATTACCTCAACCCCATTCACTGAGAAATGAGAACATTATTTCCTTAGAAAAGGGAAATTTCCAGCTTCCCAAAAGGACCATGGAATCATTTCTTATCCCAAGATAAAATAATTTAAAACTGTGGTACTTATGTCACAGAAAAGGCTATTTTAGGCTATTGTTAGAATCCCTCTGAACAGTGTACAAGTGGTTTCACGGTTACTAAGATAGCTAGCTTTGCAAACTGAGGGATTAAAAAAACAAATAAAAAGAAATAGTACCAATACAAATTCTAAAAATCAACTAAAACTTTCCTGAAATAGTTTTTCTATAACATATGGCATATAGAGAATCCATTATGATATGGTATGATAAGAAGTTTGATTTAAACTAGTTTGGGATGATCTGACTAACTCACCCCTGGCCTGATCAAGGCCCATTGAACTCAACAGAAAGTCTATAATTGATTTAAATGGCCTTTGCATCAGGACTTCACAGCTTTGCTACTCATGAGTAATGCAGATGTTCCAAATTCATGCCGATAACACTCTTATACCACACCACTATTATGAACTCTTTCTCTCTGCAAATATACATACACGCACAAATATGCATATATCGCTATCTCTCTATTGGATGGAGAGATAAACGTAGTAACTTCGTTGAGGAGAATTATGAAAAAATATAATAATGTTGTCTAACTCCCACTGAAGTGGTGCTGAGTACTCAACACTTTTGAAAATCAAGCCACTTATTTAGGTGCCTAAACACTGAGTCAGGAGCCAAACTTTAGGCACCCATTTTAAAAAATCTTGGCCCATATCTTTCACTATGAAATCAGGATAAAAATGAAATGTTAAAAAAAATCACAATTTAAAACATTCTGTTCCAAACCACTGAGAGGAAAAACAGTTGTTGTTTTTTAAAAAACCTTCTTCAATTTTTCTATGTTTACCAACCTTACATGTGAATTTTCTAGGACAGAAAACTAACTTGCCAATGAATTCATCCAGATATCAATTTCTATCAACTGTCACATGAAAGTAAAGACCGTTTTAATTTACAAAATGCTTTAAGTGCTCACAGCACTATTAAATAAGGAAAGACTGAATTTATTTGTGATGATTGAACAAAACATTGTTCAGTAACATTTATTGATTACTTGAGGTGAATGAGCCACTACGATGTTTAACATCAACTCACAACCCTGTTTCAGATAGGAGTTTGTCACATGGCCATGCAATGCAATGGCCAGATCACTGACTGAATGATGCCTACATTTAACCTTTAAGTTGCACTCTCACAAAACAATAGTTTGTATTTTCCACACAATAACTGTTTATAGGTCAATATGTTCATCTTTTTTAAAAAAAGATCTCTCTACTCCAGGTGTAAAAGGAGATTTGTAATTTTTGAATCTCCGAGTCAAAGCTCCAAGAAGGTAAAATACGTTTGTAGGCAACCTCTTTTGAATGTTGAGAGACAGATAACAGACAAGTGACTTTTGTTAGTTTATTGAGGATGAGAATAGTATCCCATCAAATAAGTGGTTGCATTATAAGAATTTTAAAATATGTCATTATTGCTAGAAACACAAATGGAGGGTGAGATTAATTTAATTTTCTTTTTCCCATACCATGAAAAAGGAACGTTGGAAGTTTAATAGACTTATCTTAAAGACCTGTGTGGAGGACAGACAGAATCTTTGCTAAAGGTGGACAAGATTGCTAGGTCTTTACATTGGCCTTTATATTAGACAATGAAACATACACCATTCTGCACCATGTTTCTTCCCCATCTTCAGTACAACATTTTATGTAATTATTTGCTTCGAAAGGATGTCTCAGGTATTCTACTCCTTAAATACATTAGCTCCAATAATTCTGAAAAAACTGAGACAAGGTAAAAGGATATGTGATGGACAACATAGCCCTGATCTGTTCTAGTAAAAGCAAAGAGATACACCAATCCAGCTACATTATATAACATTAACAAGTTAACTGTATTTTTCCAGTTAAGATTGAACAGAGTACAAATATAGTTAATAGTATGGCTAAATACTCTGAAATAAAAACACAGCAGCATGGACAGGTGGCTGAAAAAAAGTGTATAGCTTCACTTTGTATCAGTATAATAAAAACACCCCTCCAAGTGAAACAATCTATACTAATAAAAGTGCAGTTTTGCAGGACAGCTGCATCTACACTGTGGCCAGGGATAACATCTCTTGGCACCCCTAACTGACATAGCTATGTCAGCAGAAGTCTGAGCGTAGAGACAGATCCACGCTCTCAAATTAAGTTAGTGGGAGTTTTGCCATTGACTTTAACAAGGGGCAGGACTGGGGCAAAATGTATTTTGGATTATGTTTTGTTTTTTAACTTTAAAATTTCCATTGCGTGCACATGTATTTACACTTCTTACAAACCGTGGAAAATGTTTTGTTCTATAGAAAAAAATCCAGAAGTGGAATAAATTATTATATTACACTAATAAAAATAACTATTACCATCTCACATTTTAAAGTCAGAGATAACTAGTAGTATTGTCAATCTTAAGACCATCTATCAACAATCTTTTTATGGACTTTCCTGAAATTTAAACAAGGTTTCCTTTATGATACGTAGTTAGTTTTCAGTTCCACATTCAGAGATTCTGATCATAACAAGTTACAAATATTTAGAAAGTTTAGCAATAAAGTATTTTAATGGTAATGCAAGCTCTCAGTATGAAAAACACATTTATTAAATGTAGTTAACGATACAGTGAAAAACCCTTCCAAATGTACTTTTAAAAATCTGAATGTAATATGGGTATAATTTAGCAAAATGACATATTCCTTTTAAAATATAAATAACAGATTTAACCATGGTTATTAATTGGTGAAATAATACCATAACAACAAGAAGCCTTAAAAATTTCCAGCTCTTACACCTACTTAATTGTTACTCTTCTTGATCCTTTTGATTCTGGGCTTACTTAAAACATCTATCAATACTGCAAGCTCATTCTTTTCATTTTTGCTACAGTAAATTCTTTATATTTGACTTGATCTTTGATTAGGCCTAGACTACACTGAGAACATACATTGCACAGGTTAATGAAAGATAGCAAATTATTCTTGTGAAATTATTGTCTTGAGTGCAAATATTTGTTTCATAAAAATAAGAAATGTATTCAAGAAAAAAATCTATATCATCCCATTTAGATCATAGAAGGGCAAGTGGTCAGTGCTTAATCCTTTTCCAGAATACCATTACAGAGGATACATCTGGACTGAGTACAGGTTCATATTAGCAAATAATTTTGCATCTGGACCAAAATGGAGATGAGACTGAATGCTTTGAAAAGACCTACTGGCTTCCGACTAGTCACATGCTTAAAGTTAATCACAGGGTGAAGAGCAGTTTTGAGTACAAAGTGGCAGCAAAACTAGGCCTTAAATAAATAAAATAAAATATCTTACATGAGTAGTTTTTTGTAGTGGCCTATTTCAGCTGTTGCTTTCTGAAACTTGAGTCCAATTGTCTCTACTTGATTTGTTAAATCTGAAACAACAAAATATATCTGTTTTCATTTCTGTATTTGTATGCCCATCATTTGCTCTTATAATGTGGTGTTTTATATTTGCCTCTCACTTATGTAGCCGCTCTTTATAGCAAAACAAAAACAAACAAACAAACAAACAAAAAACCAACAACCAGGTAACCCAGTAAAATTAATTGACTTATCAAAACTTTCTGTGATAAGTAAATTGATAGTTTTTAATTATAAACTTTAATTATAAATTAAGCTTCCAATAATCAGCTGTAATGAATAATGCAAAGTATCTACCTTCCTGAAGAAAGAACATCATTTTATGACTTATTTTTGTTGATTTCTCATTGCTGATAAACAATAGAAAATTATATATGCTTGGGTTTTCCTATGAAAAACAAAGTAGATTTATTGGAACAGTTAGATTTGTGCAGCATTGCCATGTACTCAAATTCAGAAAGACTTATTTTTATTCCTGTTCTAGCACAGACTGAATGAATTAACAAACTGAATCCAAAATATCAAGAAATTGACTTTACATTAATAGATTTTTTTTTATTTCACAGGGCAATATATTCAATTCAACTGAGGTTAATGCAAAAAAGCTTTAAACTGTAGATGTACTGATCCAAATTCTGCTCTTGGTTACATATGCAACTGAGAGCAGAATTTGGCCCAGAAATCAGAAGAATAAGTATGAAATGCACTTTACAACTAGAAGTATCAGAGATTATCCACATTTGTTTTTATTTCACATTTTCTCTCAGCTAAATGTTATCCCCAAAGCTACAACATTGATCAGCTTCAGTAGCTCACTAAGAAATCAGACTTTTCCCTTTTCCCAACAGACAGTCTAGCATGTTCCCTCTGAGCCATAAGGTTAATTCTAGCTTCTTCCACTTTAGAAATACCTTAACTAAAGTGAGTGGCAGTACAGATGCTGCTAAGTCTTACTTGTTTCATATAACTTCTTTATACAAAAAAACTCACAAAATTAAGTGATGGAAGACACCTGTTACCTCACCTAGTCCATCCCATTAGTGCAGGTCTGGTTCCTTGCAGTACATTTTGTTGTCATCGATTTTAAGGCAAGAAGGGACCACATTATCTAATCTGACTTCCTATGTATCACAGGCTGCCTTCCCACCTCCACCACCACACTAAACCCAACAACCAAAATCAGACCAAAGTATTACAGTCCACAGGAGACTAGACTACTACGTGCCACAGGCAGAGAATGGGAGGGGCCAAGATGCAGCAGTGCCCAAGGCCCATAGGCAGGAAAATGATTAAGTGAGATATATCCAGATTATCCTGGCAAGTGACTCATTCCCACATGCTGCAAAGGAAGGTGAAAAACTCCTAAGGTCAGTACCAATCTGACCTGGGGGAAAATTCCTTCCTGACCCCACATATGGGGATCAGTTAGCCCCTGAGCATGTGAGCAAGAACCAGCCAAAAGGCACTTGAGAGGAAGAATGCTCAGTGGCACCTCAGAGCCATGACCCACCGGCCCCAATGTTCCATCTCTGGCCATGGTCATCCCTGACACTGCTGAGGAAGGAGATAAACAAAGAAACCAAAGCAGAATACGGGGGGTGGGGGAGGGAAATGAAACCTCTTCCTGACCCCCAGCTGGTGGCCAGCTGAAACCTGAAGCATGAGCTTTTAGGCACAAACAACACTGAGCCCCACCTCCTATCATCACAAGCAATCCCATCATATGATTGCACTCATAAATTTGTCCAGCTCTTTCTTAAAACTAATTATTTGCCCCCACGACTCTTATTGAGTGGCTTTCCAGAACCTCACCCCTCTGATGGTTAGAAACCTTCCTCTAATTTCCAGCCTGAATTTGCTCACCACCAGTTTCTATCCATTTGCTCTTGTCCTCTATCTTAAATAGCTTTTCACCCTCCCTTGTATTTAACCTTTATATATTAATAGACAGCAATCATATCCCCTTTTTTTGCTAGACTAAACAAGCCAACCTCTTCCAGTTCATAAGATAGGCCCTCCATTCCCCTGATCATTCTAGTAGTTCTTCTCTGCACCTGATCCAGTTTAAATTAATCTTTACTGAACATGGGTGACCATAACTGTACACAGTATTCCAAATGAGGTCTTCTCAATGCGTTGTACAATGGCATAAATATTTCTCAATCTCTAGTAGAAATGCCTCACCTAATAAATCCTAGGCATTTGCCTTTTTCATAGCCACATATCACACTGACTCATATTCATTCTGTGATCAACCCACACATTCAGTGGTTTGCTCAGTCGAGTTTTAAAATCCTAGGTTTTTTTAAATAATGTGGTATTAAAAGGTAACCCTGAATATTCCTTAGAGAGTAAATCCTCCCAGGATCATTTTCTGATAGGAGAATATGACCCCCTTTTTTTGTCTGGCTAACAGCATGCCCTTATTGACTGAAATATCTACTCATTTTTATGAAGTTGGCTTTCCAACACTAACTGTAGCTATTGAAAGCTCAGAGCAGCAACATTTAATACTAGCTTTGTTAGCACATCTTAAGGAATAATACAAAGTATTAGAGAGAGATCTCAAACCATCAGAAATAATAAAAAGCTTCTTCAGGATGAAGTCTTCCCATTGACTTAATTTGGAGCTGGATCAGGCTCAATATAATCAAGGTAGAAAATAAATTAACTGTAGAAACATCTTCACAATATGTGCCTGCCTGCCACTGAATTAGAAACGGACAGTAATAAAAATTCACACCATATAAAATTCCATTGCCACTGTGCATATGTACCTCTGATATAATACTTGATGTATGTTGCTTAATTAATTTTGGCAATGCTTTTAGCCCTTCCTAAGACAGTAAATCTTTTGAAATTGAAACAATTTCTATTCTGATCCTTATAAACCAAAGCTCACAATAATAAAAATGATTAAGAGAAGGTAAGGAGATCTTCAGAAATGTTAACTTCTTTTTAATAAATATGATTCAATGTATATAGACAAATGATCACTACAAGTCATGGATGGAAAATCTGAACTTCACAGATCCCCTAAGGAGTTCAATCTGTCAACTTTTGTTAGCATGCAATGGCAGCTGATAGCCTTTCTTCCCATTCTCTGCTGTGGACACAGAACCGTGGGATGTGTCCCCAAAAGGCTTCACGATACACAGAGGGGAGTGCAGCACCAATGAGGATACAATAACTTGGACAGTGCTTTGCAGTGGGACTGCTCACACCTCATCTAGGCCAACCCAGGTGCCAATCACCCAGGCTAACCCTGCAGTAAAGACATACCCTTAAGGACAACACTGCCGCAACAGAAAAGCTTTAATTCCCAAAGATAAAAGGAGGCAAATTTACTTTTAAATTTGAAGTTGTAGCAGGATAATTTTGCTAAAATGTGGTTAATTTAACAAAGATGTATTCCAACATGGCAAAAATTATGTTCAGAACTGATCTAGTTATCTTAGCACATGACACACAAATTGGAAGAGTCCTGGTGGTTTGGGATACAAATCAATGACTGTGACATTTGTTTATTTTAAAACTATGTTTATGTGACAGCTGGCCTTTCTGTCATAACTTCCTCACGGCTGTTTTTAAAATTGCCATGACAAAACATGGCTGGGTTACCCACATTATGTTATCTGTTTTACAAAACTGTACAGTAGGTAATGACTAACACCATGACCTTTGTTTTCCAATGCTCAGTATCCCTGACTTTTCTAAGGATAGGAAGTTGCGGCCAAGTAAATCAAGGCTAGATTAGACCACCTGCACTATACAGTTACTTCAGTTTCTCCAAGTGGGCATTCCTCAACAATGTATTGTTCTGTACAGACCTCCAAAACTACACTACTCAGCTTTAATTTCCTGTCATTCAGAATGACATTGAATTATGAAGTAAATGGCCTTGAATGCCTACAGAATAAAAAAAAAAGGAAATGTTGGCTTTAAACACCAAGCAGATGTAAGGCGGAACACATGGCAACAATCCAAAATTTACCACAGCAAGTTCTACTCTGATGTGACTGCTTTCTCCATAGAGATTAAGTAAGGATCAAATTATTTTAGATGAGCTAGGCAAAAGAAAGAGCTCTGAGCCTCTCTTCATATGGGGACAGCTGCTAATAGGATAGCATTTCATAGTCATTTGATTTTTGGCAATTAGTCATTTAAAGATTTCTGTGATTCTGGAAGGTTTCTGGGAATTGTGAATCTGCATAGCTGTTATGATCTATTCCAGTAGTTCTCAAACTTTTGTACTGGTGACCCCTTTCACACAGCAAGCCTCTGAGTGTGACCCCCCTTATAAATTAAAAACACTTTTGAATATATTTAACACCATTATAAATGCTGGATCCGAAGCGGGGTTTGGGGTGGAGGCTGACAGCGCCGTGTAATAACCTCACGACGCCCTGAGGAGTCCCAACCCCCAGGTTGAGAACCCCTGATCTATTCTCTCACGCTAGGAAGTCAGGATGCAGAAAACAGTTTTGGAATGGAGGGAAATGGGGAAGAGTTGGCCAGCCCTCTGTGGAGATAGAGGTGGTTAGGGACTTTTTAGAAAAGCTGGATGTGCACAAGTCCGTGGGGCCGGACGAGTTGCACCCGAGAGTGCTGAAGGAACTGGCGGCTGTGATTGCAGAGCCATTGGCCATTATCTTTGAAAACTCGTGGCGAACCGGGGAAGTCCCGGATGACTGGAAAAAGGCTAATGTAGTGCCAATCTTTAAAAAGGGAAGAAGGAGGATCCGGGAACACAGGCCAGTCAGCCTCCTTCAGTCCCTGGAAAAATCATGGAGGTCCTCAAAGAATCAATCCGAAGCACTTACATGAGAGGAAAGTGATCAGGAACAGCCAGCATGGATTCACCAAGGGAAGGTCATGCCTGACTAATCTAATTGCCTTCTATGATGAGATTACTGGTTCTGTGGATGAAGGGAAAGCAGTGGATGTATTGTTTCTTGACTTTAGCAAAGCTTTTGACACGGTCTCCCACAGTATTCTTGTCAGCAAGTTA